TTTTGATCCTTCTCACAGTAGAGAAAAGTAACAGTAAGCGGTGGATTCTTAGCACGATGAGCTACAGCTTATAGCAAATAATTCACATTTTATTTGCATGTCTTCAGCACGGCTCCCGCTTAAAAGACACCTTGGCGTGTAGCGTTCTGCCTCCCCAATCGGGTCGGCTCTGCCTTGCATCGCCATCCTCCGTCTCAGATGACCGGTTGTGTGATGTTGACGTCGCGGGAGGAAGTAAACCGTCCGGAAGTGGAGTCGTGTGGCCATCATCTGATCCCCACTGACGGCTGAGTGCACCAGTGTGTCTAGAAAGAGAGCAGCAAGTGTCACGAGAGTGTAGTGACCACAAAATGTGGACAATATTCGGTGGTTGAAGAATTATTTTGCAGATGGTGATAATATTTTCTTCCCTTTGGATCGCCTGCCACCCACGTTACTGATAGCAATGATTTAGCACAGGTATGCCTTGTTGCAACTAAAAATATTATGTCCACAGGGTTCTTTTCTGTGTCCAGTGAAATATACATTAGGGCTGCCACTAATGGTTGTCTTTGTTATCAATTCATCTGCCAATTATTTAATATTAGAAACCTGATTTTACAATTGCTTAAAGCCCAATTAAACATTTAATTTCCTTATTTTTCCCACCAAAAATGAAATATTACACTAGTACCAGTAAAGAAGTACGGTACACTGCACAGAATAGGCAGGCCGTGGTAAGAAGTGCAATATAATTCTGTTTAAGCTTAGTTGTCCAGCTTGCTTTTTGAAGTTCTACCCCTCATTAAAGTTTGTAACAGACGCTTGTCAAACTGAAACGAGGTCAGTCAGGGGTCTGCTGCACAGCTCCGTTACTGCCTTCATCCCAAAACATAGTACCTGAACCACGGCCCTTTAAAAGATAACTTTCTTTTGGGGATATATTTGAGTTTTCCTTTGCCTATTTTGTCTGATGACTTTTTTGCGTTCTTCTTGATAAGGGTCAGAGTTCAACATTTAATGGCTCCGTTGTGGAAGTGCAAACCTTTTGCTTCAGCAGTCACGAGTCTATCCTTAATCCCTTCGGCCGCGGTTGGATTCCCCCCGCTGCATCAAAATGATTCGGGGAGGTTGAGGTATCAACACAACCATCGACACACTTCTCTGCGAGCTACTAAAAGGCGTTCTGGTAAATAAGGGGAATTTGTGTGTGAGGTTTGACTGGAGGACGTGGGCTAAGGGGTAAATTATTACGACAATAAGGCGAATTTCAGCTACTCACAATAAATCTTGTGAGAGTGTCTGTGAGGAGATGTTTAATTTAAGAGGAGATAATAACGAGCCACTGATGAAAAGTAAGGGCACTGAAGCATCAGGGTAAACAGGACCAAGTAACGTGTAAAATACCCATCAGAGAACACTGTTACCATTCAAATACTGAACAATGAGACTCATAGTTATAATGGGTAATGGTCACGTGGTCACAGGTGTCAATGTGGCACCGTTCCATTTCGGTGTGTCAAAGCCTGCTGTGCGCATGCTGCCGCACTGGGGCGGCTGTGACACACTAAATGGAACGGGTCCTCACATAATTAATCCCGCCTGTGTTTGCCTCGCTATGACGCGTCAAAACGTTATTAACTATAAAACAATAGCTTCGTTTCCTTGCTGGTGCTTCCGCAATGAAACCACGGTGGTCTTTGTGCGTGCGGTTATGCGTTATTCTATGCGTTGTACCGGCACGCCAACTAGACAGCGTTAGCTACGGTGAGCTAATGCTAAATGCAGTTAGCTAGCGTTTATAACATTATGGCTAACGTAACGGTAGCTGCTGGTGATTCACACGTACAGCAGACGCGAGGCAGCATTGACGTTGGCTTTACTTGGAGTCCCGCTTCTGCTCACCTGAAATAATGTAAGTCCAATATAAGTTTTTATTTATTCATTTATTTTCCTTTGCTCGTAGCGTGCTAATAAATCTCCGCTTTGTTTTCCCGCTATCTTAGCTTAGCTTAGGCAGGCTAGTCGCTTTCTGTGTCTGTTTGGTGGCAACATGTTTGGAAATATCTGGACAGTTAAATGTACTTTTGTGACCATTACACTGTGAAATTACAGCCAACAACAATGAGATTAATTTAAACAAATATATCAAAGGGAAGTGCCAAACTAACGTACCCAAAAAATGGTGGTAAAATGTCCTATGGACTTACATGTTCTAATAGACTTTATTAACATGCATCATACCAGAGTGGAGGAAACCTTAAACAAAAGAAACAGTAAAATGAGCATACTTGAACCACTTTCATACTAATTTAATTGATCTGTAACACCAAATTAAAGTTAATAAGCAACATGCATATAGTAAGAACTCTTTCATGTTTCAGCAAGAAAGCGCGTTGCCAACTAGTAACGTTAGGAAACTTACGTTGTATTTTGGGTTTCTTGAAGAAATGATACTTGACTTTTGTTGTTCCGTGTCTGTACCCTGTAGGGTTAAATGCACTTATTGTAAGTTGCTTTCGATAAAAGTGAGTCAAATGCAAATCACATAAGCGTGGTATGTTTTCCAAACCAAATATTTTACGTTCATGCAATTTCATGAGTGCTGCAGGACACTGGATGAGCAGCGTCGTCATCTTGCCAAGGTCGCGCTGATGCCACATAGAGCAGGCGCCATATTTGAGTTTGATGACCGTGGCATTGGGGCTCACTGTGGGGTCGAGAAGGCTACGTCCCCCGCCGTTTTCGAATCCAAAACGATGGAGTGAAGCAAGATAGCGACAGATAGACGGGCGAGTGAAGCCTTGCAAAAATTCCCTTCACTCTTGGTGTGAACGTAGGTTCTCTGCTGACCTGCTTGAGAGAGCAGAAGAAATCTGTATCATGGCTTTTCTTTTTTCCTTTTTTTAAAGATGTGGCCTGTGAAAGGGAAGTTTGGTGTCTCCTGCTGGTTGCCCGCGCGACCGGCTCCGGATGAGCGGATGACTGAATAAATCAGCGGATCCTCACTGACCGTGGAAAATAATTTGTAAACTGAGAGCTTTGACCTCTGAGGCTAGTAATATTTCTGTAGTCATGGTAACATCAATGGAAAAATCTTCATGCGTATTCAAATGTATCCTCTTGTGCATTTTCTAGATGAATATGGAGTTGTGCAAAAACATCCATCGACAGAAGCCTCTGTGCTCTTTGCACCCTCAAACAAATGATTTGGTGGAAAAGCTCAATGGTACAATTCAATGGTAAAAATTATGGGTGTAACGCTTCATTTTAACGATTCGAATCGCGATTCATGGTTTTCGATTCATGGACGATCTGGGTTAATTTAGAACGATTCGATTGAGTGACTTGAAATCGATTCAGTAACTTTACTGGACAGTGCAGGCAAAGTTTCTGAGATCCCTGTTGTTTCTTGTAAGGAAATCAGGTTTAAATTAATTATGGATATTATAAACAAGCAAACAACAATTAATGGCAAATGTATTAACCTTTTATTTGAATCAAGTGCCATTTTTAATGTAAACATTACACATTGTTTGCATCAATTCACAGAACCCCGGATTTTCAACCACATTGTCGGGTCGCATGTCTTTACAGATAAACTTTGCAATTGTTACTGTGATGTTGAGTTTGGTGCTGGCGAGGCCTGAGGCGTCTGCAGAGCTGGAGTTACCTTCTGCTGCTGCAGCGGTGACGCTGCTAGAGGTCCTGACTGTCGGCGTTGTTTAATCCCACGGCGCCTTAGTAGATGGCCGGAAAGATTCGTCGTGTTTCCGTAGTTTTTTAATTTGTCTTCTACATATTCTACAAACAGCGACCGACTTATTTAGAACACCTCTGTGTTTACAAAAGCCAAAATGTTTCCACGCGCTGAATCGATTAAGTTGGTTTGTAAATGTCTCGCTGGCAGTCGTCTCCTCCACGCTGAGTTTTGTTGTTGTTCAGAGTTTCGCGCGGCTGCCGCTGCGGACTGATGACGTCACAGACAGGCAGACTGAATCCAGTAACGTTTAACGCGTCTAAAGTGCTAAAAAACAAACAAACAAACACTCATCCACACAGTTTTTGTGCTTACATCCAATGTGCTCCAAGTATCGATACAAATCGATTATGTTTTAGATTAGATTCAACTTTATTGTCACTGCACAGGGTACAAGTACTGAGGCAACGAAATGCAGTTTAACATCCAACCAGAAGTGCGAAATAGTGCAAAAAAAGTGCAGAGTATGTGCATATGTAAAGTGTAATAAGTGAATAAATAGATATGTACAGTAAGAAATAGTTTTGCAGTATGAACAGTAAGAAATGGATATGTAATAACCGTAATAGTGCAAATGTTCAGTGGCAGTGTGTGGCAGTCAAGCCAGGGTGGAGGGGGGAGTACAGTCACCGAGGGAGATGTGTGGGGGTGGGGGGGCAGAGTTCAGAGTTCGGGGGGGGGGCAGAGTTCAGTAGGGTGACAGCCGCAGGAATGAAGCTGTTCCTGAACCTGCTGGTCCGGGAACGGAGCACCCTGTAGCGCCTCCCAGAGGGGAGGAGGGCAAACAGTCTGTGGCTGGGGTGAGAGCTGCGTGCCCTCCGCAGACATCTCTTGCTCTGGACGGCCTCGATGGTGGGGAGTGAGGAACCGGCGATGCGTTGGGCAGTTTTCACCACCCTCTGCAGTGATTTACGGTCCGCGACAGAGCAGCTGCCGTACCATACTGAGATGCAGTTTGTAAGGATGCTCTCTATGGTATATGTATCCTCAGATTCTCTAGAATCTGAGGAGACAGATGGGCCGTCTTCATTCTCCTCAGGAAGAAGAGACGCTGGTGTGCTTTCTTTACCAGCGATGAGGTGTTGAGGGTCCAAGAGAGGTCCTCAGAGATGTGGACACCCAGGAACTTGAAGCTGGCGACACGCTCGACCTCCGTCCCGTTGATATGGATGGGGATGTGAGTGCCAGTTTTCTTGTACCATTTCAATCGATTTGTAATATTGTCGTCCGGAATGCCGATTTGCTGAGCACAGATCGATTCAGTTGGATCGCAGGAATATAAATCGATTCAGTGGATGAATCGTTACACCCCTAGTAAAAATGGACTTCTCCACAATATATCGCAACTAAACCACTTTTAGAAGAGAATAATGATTTAGCAGAATAACTGAATTTATATGCAATGCTCCAAAAAATAAACACTTAAACAACACAATGTAACTCCAAGTCAATCACACTTCTATTAATGTTAATGTTAACTGGTGGTAAACTAGATTCGGCCACAGAGGCTGTTACAACAACCATGTTTGGTCATATGCATTTAGATGCCATCGAGCAATCATTTTTGTTTATTGCGTAAGGAAGCGTGACAGAACTATGCAGAGCATGTGTGCCGACGTCCAGGAGAAACGGGAATGATGACTGGGTAAGATTACACTGGCAGTTCCCTAATCATGTAAATGCAAATGTGTAAACATGTAAACATGTAAATGTGTATTAATCTACTGCATTGCCTCCCAGTACACGACATGCTGTCTGGTTTCTCTCCCTTTGTACAGGGAAACCCCCTCTGGAGCAGCACGGCATGCGTTCTTCTGATTTGTTTATTTTCGTTTGAGAACTTCATGTGATTGTTCCTTATTTCTGTAAGTGTACCGCTTATTTTCTTTTTTTGCAAAGATTTTATGAACGTCTTCATTTTCTTTTTTTATACAGATGCTGTTTATCAACTTTAATTGGCTGTTAATTTAAGGAATATTGTTTATGAATAAATTAAAACACTTTCATTCTGCACCTTCGGATATTGATATCTTGATGTAATGGCTGTGATGCAGTCCTCATTTGTACAATTGTAGCCACTATGGCTGTGATATCTTTTGAAGAGTGTATAAAAATATTTATATAATATATATATATATATATATTATAAATATTTTTAGGAAAAGTAATTTAGCTATAGCACAATATGGGCCATTTAAATAATTTAATCTTTGGCTGAAAAGTAGTTTTGGAATCTGAAAATATTACATTTCCTTACTGTCAAACAAACCAGCATGAATAATGTGCGGTCGGCTGCTATATAGGGTTTTTTCTGGCTGTGCTTTTAAACACTGTTCGTTTATCTATAAAAGGACTGAGATGTTCATGTGTGATTTTTATATTTCCAGACTCTTTTCTTGGGAACCACAATGACCTCTGTGCTCTGTAAGTATGTACACTGTTATGAGTTATTCAATGACATCTTTTAATGGTTCACAGGACTATATTCTTCATTCTGACTGTGTAGACACCGTAACATGATAATAGTTACTTCCGTCTTATCTTATCCGAGGGATCACATTTCAGTCTGTCCTCTAAATAGAGAAGTCTGGAGTCCTAGGCTGGGAATTCAACATGGGAGCCACCACAGGACCTGCAATATGTTTTATTTAATAGGAGCAGACAGTGGTTTTACCCTGGTGGGTCTTCACCAGATAGTCTCACTAAGCCCTGCTAGGGCACAAATAGTGTCTTGTTGTATTAAAGAAAAGCTGCTCTGGAGCTGTGTGTCAGCGAGCATTATGTTTGTTCTCACACTGAATTCCACTCAGCCGCCAAGTTAAAAATAAATAAAACGTGTCCGCTTTCACTATGCGACTCAAGATATTCCTTCAGATTGTGTCCCTGGCGTCCCTTTTCCTCTCAGAATTGACCTTTTTTTGTTCCCTTACACGAGGCAGAAATACTAAATTCTAAAAAGATTGTAGTTTTTTTTTTTTTGTGTCCCTCTGTATAAGAGTAAGTGGTGTAAACTGAGTGGCCTCAGAGGACACTGGATCCAGCTGAAAGTGACACACACACCTTTGGTCCTCTGAATAATGTATCTGCCACTGGTATAATTGGAGTAATAGCGTCTCCTCCAAAGCACTATCGGATGCATATATCATGACCGTTCATTCATTAAGTTGGGATTATCGGGATCGTCTCTCTCCCTCCCCCTCTGTACTAATGTTTATGTTGTGGCTCTGTTTCAGGCCTGTATTTGTCTCCTCCTGATCCTGTAACTAAGCTTTCCCTTCACCACAGCTAACAAAGCTCTGCTGTCTCCGTACAGGGAGAATTGTACAACGACGCGACGGGATGAAGGTGGGGGGCACGTGAGTCACAGAGGAAGCCGCGTTAACTGGTTGATTGTGCAGGAAGACACTCCCGAGGAAGCGCGCCTGTAGTCGGTAATGTAGGCCAGCGGGGTCGGTTGTTATGGTCCTTCCTCGATTTGTTCAGCAATAATGCCCCCGTTAAAGGGAGGATGGGTGAGGCACACAGCTGTTCAGCTGTTTCCTGAAAGCCTGCAGATGTTCGTTTACCACCAGTCGGTCAAAAGATGAAGCGGATTTCATTGTTCTCAGCTTGTCGTCCTTGTGGTTTGTCAGTGCTGGCTTTGCTTTCTCACTTTTTTGGGGTGTTGGCACAGTGTGTAAAAACAATAATTCACCCTTTAGTGTTTTTTTAAACTTTAAAACCCAAAATGTAGAAAGAACTTAGTGGTAATCCTCTCCTTTGCTACAAACGGGGCTTACACATTCAATGAATGTGGCAAAATACAAAAATGACCATAAAGCACTTTCCTCGCTTTTTTACATGCAGTGTTCATCCACATTACCACTCTGGTCTCATTTCATTCACTTAAAACAATGGCATTACCAAACCAATTAACAGTACTTCTTTATTCAACACGTCATAGTAATGTGCCAAAACTGTGGCCATTGATAGCAAGCCAGCTAAGAATATTTAAGTTATAAACTGTTACGTGTCTAAGAAGGCGGTTGCTAACCAGCGGGACTCCAAATTTCTTTATATTCTCGTTGTTTATACTTTTAACCAGTTAATATCCTGGTTGGTGGTTTCATTCCTAATAATGCATCATAATTTATTAGCCTACATGTAGTTGGTCTTGAATAGATGTGGACTAGAATGTCTCAAAATAAAGGGATCAGTAGCATGAGATGTAAATGTAAAATAGCAGCATGTCATGTGAGGGAACGAAGCATGAAGCTCAACTTTACAAAATCACTAAAACGTCTTTCCCTCCTGACTTCTTTGGCAGCCGCTCTTCCTCCTTTGCCATCGCCCCTCTGGCTTCCTCCTGCAGCTCGAATCTCAATTAGCTGTTTCCAAGCCCACATGTGAGTTTGCAGAGGCTGCTGTGTATGTATGAGTAATTGCAGGGTGGAGGGAGGGTGGGGAAAAACTTCCCCTGTGAACTTTTTTTTTGTTTCTCCTCCTTTTCCTCTCGGCGCGACCCAGAGAGCTTCCACGGCAGCAACTCCTGCATCTCCCTTCCTCTTCCTCGCCTCCTTCCAAATCACTTCGCACAATAGACTTCCTCTCCAAGGTGAGAGGGGGGAGTGGGGTGTGGGGGGTTGGGAGGTAGATACTATTTCTCCACAACAATGGAAATTCAATCTGAAAATGGAGAGGAGGTGGCGAGAGCAGCGTCAGCGCCCTCGTGCTTCGCTCCCCGTCGTGCCTCCGTCCCGCAGGTGGAGACGGCAGACGAGCCGGTGCTCAGAGAGGACCTGCGGGCCGCTAAGGGGGTCGAGAGGTTTGACATCCCCCTTGATAACCTGAAGAGGATGTTTGAGAAACCCGCTGTGGTGAACGTGGTAAGTGACCTTCTTTTGCAGTGAATTCTCCCCAGTTAAATGGAGTGTTTGCCTGCTGCTATGCCGGAGTGTGTCTACTTGTAATATATGTATTCAAAGTTTTTTTGTTTTTTTTTCCCCCCTTCTAAGAAACTTTAAAAAGTCAGTGAGACGACTGAGGTCCTGCCTCAGGAAACACATCTTGTCTTTAGTGAAAGTCTTTCAGTTTCTCTGTAATAATCTCTTTGTAATGACCACATTTGCTGACCTTACTGTCGACTTATTCTTGGATATAATTGGAAAGCCAGAAAAGGATTTTGCGTATCTCTACATTGGCTTCATTGTGATCCACTCGCTGGAAACTCTTTTTTTCCGTCGTTTTGTTGACACTGGTGAGAGAACCTCCCCGCGCAGAGAGGAGGGCAGCCTTCTTTCCCCGCTCAGTTTTTCCATCTCAACTGGCTTCTCTGAGAGGAAAATCTAAGTCTGTTGGAAGTGAAGCGGGTCATTATGATAAATCCTCCCTTTACCAAATGCCTGACCCACTTTGTGCTCCCACTGTGGTCGGACTTCTGACGAAACTCGCCTAAATGTTCCCGAGAACCACAAGCTCGATTGCGGCGCATTGAAACCTCTCGCTTCATATTATCCCAAACGCACACAAGCAACTCGCAGGAGCTGATGCATTATGGGGAATGTGGTTGAATGTGCCGGAGCCCCCGGTGGTACAGACGCACACCGGCTGCTGATATTCAACACCCTGTTATTTAAAGACTATTTTTGGGGGGGGCTTCATGGTAAAGCAAGACTTCCAAAATAAGTAAATGTAATTGGCACATCGGCTTGCTGCTGGAGCTCCGACGTCAGGTCAGAGACCAGACGTCAGGCTTCTCACAGATTACTGCTTAATCATCCGCATCGTTTAAGGTCTCGGAGGTCGGTGTGTTTGGTCTGCTGTGGTATGAGCCGTAACGCTCTCAAAAGATAAGACGTACTTTGAGCTTTTATTGTGGCGCTTTTGCGTTCTAGTGTCTGGCGGAGCGTTGGGTATAAAGCTCCTCGGTCTTCGGCTCACCAGAAGGAGAACGTTCTCAGCCTTTTGACCATCTACAAGTCACTGAGCCGTTTGTGGGCTTCAGTGTTTGTTTAAAGGAGCAATTTGGTGTTCAAAGCCCTTTTGACTTGTGTCAGATTTGTGGAACGTCAGACGATCCTGATATTAACGCTAATGTTTAGCCGGCTAGCCTGCAGAGTGGTGTAGTATTGTTATTTTTGTTTCTTTGTTATTGTTTTTGGTCACAGCTCCCATTAGCAATGTTGGGAATGGCTGTAAAAACCTTGTACGCTACCAGCTCAGCACCAAACATCAGACTGGCACAGTTGGATGCTAACAATAGGAGCACATTTAGGCGCTTAAAACAACGTGCGAGATATCAGTGGTACGTTTACCCCTCGTTTCTGCCGCCCCCTTGTGGACAGATTCTGTACTGCCTCTTTAAGTGAACAATGTGGCCCAACCAGATAATTATTTCATTATTATGGATTCGCTAAAACCACTGATGCGGTTTGTTTTTCAGAGGTCTTAATCTGTTGAGGTGTTTGTAAAGTATGTGAAAATTCTGTTACTTCTTACCTTTCAGGAAACGGATTGTGGAATACATCACTTTTCCTGTTTACACAAAAAGCTGGTCAACTTCAACAGTAATTTCCAGCCGGCTCACATCTGACATTTTATTCTTCTTCGACTTCCAACTTGAATCCTCTCAAGGGAGAGAGAATCTTTTTATGTGATATTTTGAAATAACAAGCTGTCCAGCTGGTCCAAATGTTAGCATGACACACGCTGGCTTTGGAGCACATGTTGTGTCTTGGCATTGTGTCACGAGTGCTTGTACGCTCTCATCTAGGAGCCTGTGGTCAGAGCTAATGGAGCATGCGGGCAGCGTTCCAGATTCCCAGATGAGGACCAGAGCTCTGCAGCCGGCTGCTTATAAAACGCGACCTTGTCTCTAACTCATCTGAAAGACCGAGCTTAATATTTGATGATTCACTGTATTTTTCTCCCCGTGCCCCATTTAGTTTATTTAACCGGTGCGATGGGATTGGACAGCCAGCCATAACAATGACTGATGGATTCCCGCGTGGCCGCTCGGCTGTGGCCAAAATCAAAATGAAAACCCGCTGTGTGTGTGTGTGTGGGATAGAGAGAGATGGAGGACAGTCCGCAGATGTGTCCTGATGCAACGGTTTGTATGAGTGCAAAGGGCGTGTTTCTTTTTTCCTTCCTCCCAGCTTGCGTGTAGCGGGGCCCGATCCTCGAGGGACTCGGCCTCGTGTTTAGGATATCTGACCGACCCTCTGGTCGTGACCGGGCACACGAGGGGAGAATGCAGTGATGTGTGTGTGCATGAGACAGACGAGGTGCTACAGTGTCAGGTCAGATCATGCACAGTGTCAGGTCAGATCAGCACATACATAGGCCTACATGCATGAGCACACGAGTAGGCCACTTCGAGACTGTTGCCATTTAGAAAGCCCTGTTATTCCACACCAGCTCATTAAAATGTCGAGGCGAGCATTATTAGTTGAACCACTTGAATGCTGCTAACAATCCTGTCTGTGATGTCCCCTGTAGGCCAGCGGGTGGTAGTGTAGCACCTGTCGGACTGACAGGCTTTAAAGCAGGAAGGCTCGATGTTCTGCTCTTCATCGGCTGCTTATTGGAGTGAGACAATGGCTAATCACCCCGTGTTAATTTCTCCTCATCTCTGACGGCCGTAGGCGTCTCAAACGGGCTTTTCCCTTGTCTCTGAGCCAGTCAGATTTCGGTTTGCATAATTGGCGTAATATCTAATTCTGACGGGTTTGGTAATTTTAAAAGGATTTCACAGCATGGGGTTGAAGCCGGTCACACCTTGCTAACAGGATAACATGAAGTAGGGAAAGGGCAACTTATTTAGCTGGAGCACTGCTGTCTGACTCCGAGGTGACTCGAGGTGGTACTCGAGGTCTGAAGCGTTGCCTCGGTTTTATTCTCATGACTCGTGTCGTCACTCACTCACTCGTTGTGTTTAGTCACGTCTGAAAAAACAAGCGCAACAAACGAGCATTGAATTTAAAAGGAATGTATGAATGGGGCTTTGATTGCTTCACTTTAGGGTTCGCCTTCATCAAGCTTTCTGACCCAAAAGTGTGAAACCCTCGTGGTTAATTGAGAACCATTTTCCTCTCAAACAAACACACCAAACAAATCAGTCAATGTCAGACGTTGAATAAACTAAAAGCCATAATGTCTCTGCGAGAAAATGATCCAGACGCCGTCAAGTCCGTTCAGCTCATAAACATTCCGCTAACGTTTACCGGGCATCTCCCTTCGTCTCGCTTTCACAGATTCAAATCCTTTAATGGAGCCGGCCTGTCGTGACAACGTCGGCGACTTGTTGCCGGTCGCCTTGGCTTCGAGAATCGTTGTTCGGTGCTCCGCCGTACACGGCTCTGAATCCCCCCCCCCTCACCCTCCCTTCCCCGCTGTTTGCTTTTGTTTACGGATTAACTCATTCAAAGTCTGCTCTGCGTCGATACACAGCTTTTTAGTTGTTTTTTTCCCCCTGAGGTATTGAACGCGTACTCACTCCTCCGTATGCTAATCCCTTCACTAGCCAGGTAATGGAAGCACACCTGCGGGCTTTTGCTTCCATACAGATTGTTGTGTGACTCATATCATCTTTTGTCTAACGCACTTTTGACACCCACGCCATCGACGGCAGCATGTGTGCTCCACAATTAGCCGAGGGCCTCAAGGCGCGCGTCTTCAATCATTCACCGCGGCGCCGTGTCGATCCAAAGGTTGCTCGGCGCCGTCGCCGCCATTTCTAGCAACAAAAAGGAGAGGAAGCGCTCTTCAGAAAAAAAAGCCCCGCTTCCGACTGGAGAAGAATGACATGCAGACGCAAAGGACAATGAGGGGACGGTTTAACGAAGCCCGGTTTCTCACTGCGAATACTTCAGAAGGTGCTTCTTCCCCGGGGGAGCACTTTGTTCGCCCTGGGGTAACAACTTGGGACATTTTTGAGTTTCCTCTGCATTATTTATACGATAGAAACCGGCCCCAGTGTTGCCGTTTACTGTAACACTTGCTGTACCAACCCTGCCGACGCGTGTTAGCGTGTTAGCATTGATGGACGGATGGATGAAGCAAACAAAAGCTTCTGGTCATATTGGAGCCCTTTGTAAATCGAACAGTAGTCAAAGCAATTTAATTTTAGCACGTTATTAAAGCAGAAATGCAGAAAGTCGTTACTGTTATTCTTCATTTTCATCATGTAGCTAATGTAGCTAAGCCTAGTGCACAACTGTGTGCAAAAATAACTAAAAAGGTCCGCCTTTTGACACATTACCTCATTAGTTTAATATGTATTGGCTAAAAATGTGTGTCAAAATAAGTAATGTCATTGGTTACATTTTCGTGTAGTTTTTTTTTTTTTTTTACTGAGTGGTCGGTAATACCCCCCCCCATCACTAGTGTCCTCCTTTTAGACGTGAAGGAAATGGTCACCCTAGATGGGAACGTCATTGGCTTGACAGATATTTGGTCATCGTACAAAAGGACCATCAAAGTTATTACAAGGGGAAGATTTTTAGCATCGCTTTATTTTTTTTTTTTGTGGGGGAAATGATTTAAGTTGAATTATTGTTTGTTAATATTAATTTATAATCAATGTTTAGTAGATTTGTCATGTTTGAATGCTTGCCTTTAAATGTTTTGGACAGTTATCGTTAACAAATAATCGGGATATATTAATTGGAAACACAGATTTTACATGTCTCTTCTCCTTAAAGTTGGTAGCAAATGAATAACTACTCGCGGAGGACTCCCTGGGAATCGGGGACGCAAACAAGGACTGTCATTGTGTTTTCATCTTTTATTTGAGCCGAATTAATTAGTTGTTTGGTCTAAGAAAAGAAAATCAACCAGGGTTCCTCGGGAGCCAAGATGACCTCAAATATCTTGTTTGGTTCAA